TGAGCGGCTGCATCAAGATAAATATTAAAAAAGCTGCAGTGCAGGTTTGCGTCTCCATCGGGCTCAGACTATTTCATGGAAATTCATTCCTCAGTGGTCGATCCTGTCGTGCAGCAGAACAGAAATGAAGCCCATAAATGTTCCTGAATGATGAAGAGTAACAGCTCCGTCGCTCCTCAGTTATTACAGCCTGGAGAGCCGATAACACCGAGGAAGAGGACAGGGCTGAGTTATTGCCACAGATAATGAAAAATAATATTCATTATGAGTGGAGCAGCAGTTGACTGATGCTGTCAGTGTAAGTGGGTGCAAAGTGAAACGCCTTCCTCCTGAGCGGTCGGGGAGGGGCCACGCCACAAAGTGAACGCTCAACATTCACCCGATTCAAACAACCAATCAGAGCCTGAACTAAAACAACATCCATCCACCTGTTTCCTCTCTTTACAGAGTGAAGATGATCCAATAACATGTTATTATTAGTGTGTACGTGATCCTGATGACTGAGCCTCGTGCAGCAGCAGTAACTCGAAGTTTCCTGTGGGACTTTATCGGTCTCCCACATCACTGTGGAGAGTTTTGACCCACTCGTCTTTACAGCGTTGCTTCAGCTCACTGAGGTTTGCAGGATTATTCATGCACAGCTCTCCTTTTTCAGCCGTTCTGCTGCAAATCTGCTGCTGTGCTCGGGTCATCGTGGTGACCCGGTTCAGTCCACGCTTCAGCAGACAGACGGCCTCACGTCTGACACTAGAATACAGAGGAGTTCACGGTGCCCAAAGCCTCGCCCCCCCCCACCGTGCAGTTGGTTTGAAGTGTTTGTGCATCATGGCCGAACAGCTCCGCTTTGCTCTCGTATGTTCAGATGCAACGTTGAAACCTAAACTGTCACGTTCAGTTTACAGAGCAGAGGTTTTCTCCGTGTACCCTCCCAAACAAGCTGCACTCGTTCAGTTATTTCCTACACGATGACTCGTCTCTCAGCTGTAGATACCGAAGTGCAGAGAGCTTTGTCACAAATGCAGCAGACGAGTCTTTTCTGAAGCAGAGCATCTTTCATCAGCCGCACACTCGGACTCCACCTCTCTCTTCGTCTCAGTTTTCCTTTGTTCTCCTCCCTCACGGTTCTTTTTTGGACTGTTGCTGTACTTCCTGTTTCCGATGACTCCACGCTGCCAGTTTATTCCCGTCTCTCAAGTCTCTCGCTGCACTTTGGTCCATGTGACTCTGCCTGTGTGAGGTGATTTTATCTGCACTGCACAAAGCAGATCAAAGTTGCTGAGACCAAAAGCAGGTCCAGTCGAGGCAGCAGAGCTATAACAGTTAGCTTAACAGAAACTGGTTGAAAAAACTTCTAGTTGTCCTTTAAATGCACAGCGATGTGACGCTGGGTGAAGTCTGTTTTAAATTGCAGCTCCATCTGCACGATTAACTCTGGAGCAGCAATCTTAACGAGGGCGTGTCTGCAGTTTGAATGTTTGAGTCAGTTTTTATTGGCTCGTGAATGAAATGAAAGTGGATTAGCCTCCCGCAGACGGCGCCTCTCTGCTCCCTCGCTCTGTTTGTTTTGCAGGAATAATGAGTGAAATAAATCGGAATCATTCACATGATGCATCGGCTGAGTATCAGCACGCAGATGATTATTACGTTTTGTTCAGAGCAATCTCGGTTTCCCGATTCGGCAGCACGGTGACGGGGGCGTGGATGGAGCTTTTCTTTCAACAGCACACTTCAGCCTGCTGTTTAAGGTCTACGTGTCTATTGTGGCCAAAGTTATTCCAGCGAAATCGGCTTTTTGGAAAGCTGCGGGGAACCACTCGACACAAAACCAGTTTTTTCTTTTAGCTTTTGTTCCCACGACAGAGAGTGCAACGATAACCCCGGCACACCACAGACACCTCTGTGGGACAGACAGCACCATTTAAATGTGCATTATGGTCTTTTTTATGTATTATAAACTGACTTTTTCAGTGTGTCAGCAGAACTTTACAAAAGTTCTTCCCCAACTTTTGGTCAGAAAGCCTGTGGTCTGATGTGTCCCGGCCGAGCGGGCCGGTGTTTGTGGAGCCGAATGCAGACAAGAGAGAATAATTGAGGCTCAAGAGTTGGGAGTTCGTCTTGTAATCGGAAGGTTGCCGGTTCGAGCCCCGGCTCCAACAGTCTCGGTCGTTGTGTCCTTGGGCAAGACACTTCACCTACCGCTTACTGGTGGTGGCCAGAGGGGCCG